GTACTCATTTTCAATTTGGTTTTTAACTTCTAAACTGAAAGATTTCCAAATAGTATTTGCATTTAGTTCTCTTTTTTATCTTTTTCCTTTGTAAACCAATTTTAAAAATGGAGAATGTAAGTAGAGACATAAGTTCATTCACAATTTTGTTTTTAGTTCCAACAATAATGTCAAATCAGTTTATTGATTCTACACCGGGAAAATCGCATTTAGTAATAATTGCGTTAAATCTTTTCCACACAGGTTGAATTTTTTTACATTGAACTAACACATGGTGTTCATTTTCTATTTCTTTATAACAATTATCACATAAATCACTTGTAACTACTCTCCATGTTTTTAGTCTTTTATTACAAGGTAAGATGCGATGTAAAAGCTTAAAGTTAAACTGGGCAATTTTTGTAATATGTTTCATATCTTTCACTTGATTGTACCATACCTCGTCCCAGTTAATTACTTCAGTGTTAAACTCTACTTCCCATTTCATTTGCGTGATTGGAGTTATACCAATTTCAGAAATAAAGTGATTATAGTAAACACCAACTTTGTTTACCTTTTTGAACAGTGAATTGCTTATATTTTTATCTTGTGGTACATCAATTAACCCTTTTGAAATGATTATCTTCATTCATTTGGAATAGCATTTATCAGGGAAATATATTCGATGAGCCCATTTGTTTTTTTTGGAAAGTGTAGGAATTATTTCACATGGCGTTAATATTCTATTATCAATCATAATGTCATTTATTAATTTATACCCAGCTTCTACCCAAGCTTTAAAATACAATGATTTTTCGCCTAAAGTTATAAATTTATTTTCCCATAATTGTTGATTCTTAATTTCTTGTAACTGAAAACTTAACAAAAATCTCATCCGATCCCTATTCCTTGACCATAATATTCAACATACAACAAGTAGTCCTATACCATATACTTTCGCATCTTCCAGGTACTCAATTTACTCCTAAATGGATATACAAAAGCAGGCAAATGTTTGGGTTTTTTTTAGAGACAAACAAGACCTCAAATTGACTGCTGAAATTATGTTGCATATAATGACAGGCTAGTAAGAGAAACCCCAGAGGATGCTTAAGATTATATTTTATAGATAAATGTCTTCAATATCATTCAAAACTCTTGGGGAACAAGCATTTTAAACCAGACAAACGTAGACAAAATTCCGTGTCTAAGAACTAAATGTACCACGTCAAGTCTAAATCACATTGGATTCTGTGTGATGCGCACGATGGTAAAGATTGCATAGTTTGTTGAACTGAGAGTATTATTTTATAATATCCGCTGTAATTTCCCTTCAACAAAGGTACTCAGTTGTTAAATCTCCTGGTAGTACTGTATTAATTTACTTTAATAAGCAGCTTATCTGACGACTTAAAATTTTGAATAAAAGTTAATTGATTTCGACAGAAAACTATCATTACCAGAGTTCATAAAAAAAGCTACTATATTAAAATGAGATTGGCGATTTTATTCAAGTTGCCGCAGTACTGTTCAGTGACTTTACGATGTGTGCTAGTAATCTTAATATATTTCCTCCATGGTAAAATCCACTGCATCAGAAAGTAAAAAACATGCAAAGGGTTTTGGCGCGTAATTTGTTTATGCGCTGATTAAATATCGGAATCGCTTCACGTATTTATGTTTTTATTTATTATTTATTGCCACATTATTGTCAGAAGCATCGCATTGAATTGAAGTTTTGTTTTAATTTTTTTTTCTAAATATAAATATTTATTCTGTACTGAAAAAAATTAAAAATTAGAAGATAAAAATCATGAATATTTATAGACCTGCCGATATGTAAATTATATTGGGGCCCATAATTATGTATACTTAAAGCAATTCTTACTCGTAAAGAATTAACTCTACACTGTTTTGCGGTAATGAAAGACGTTGAAAAAAAGGAATGTACGAGTGTGAATAATAAGTTTCCCCAAACGGGATTCGAACCCGGGTTCACTTGATTTTTACGCAAAAGTCTTAACTGGGCTACTGTGGCCTCGTTGAGAATTAATACGTATTCATCCCAATCAGATGGAACTGATCTCTCATCCTCTTGTACATGTGCGAAACAATTCTAGTTATATATACATTGCAAACTCAACAGAGATCGATATGATAGGCCACGCCCTCATCTTTTTGAACGACAAGGCGGGATCTACGGAAGTCATTTTGAAAATAAATTACCGTATGGGACAGTGACTAACTTACCATATGAGATTCTGACAACTTGTTTATCTTTCAATGTGTGTAAGCTTATTCTTTGGTTGATTGCATATTTTAAATGCAAAAGAAGAGTGCTAATTATTAAGCAACAGCTTGGCGCTGCTGGGGTGCTGCTTTAGAAGCAAATAGGATAGAATCGCGAACAGTGTGTATCCATGACACCATTCACTTGAGTATTAGAGCCAAAAATACTAGGATACAAGTATCCCTGTAATTCTCTGAAATCACGACCAGCGGACATATGGTGTCCCACAGCTAATAGTTTAGCATAACTCAAAAGTTAGGTTATTTTCTAAATCTAGTAGTAGGCCTACGTTATATGGCTTTTTTTTCTATTGTGTGCCCCCTTACAGCCAAATTGAATCTTCATTTCTTTTTTTTTTCTCCCAGAACAAAGCTCCTTTACGTTGAATTCCAACATCAACTTGTATTTCTATAGTGATTTGACACAGCGGTTATGGTTCTGCTTCTCAGTGGCGTAGGCGCACTCCCCCTCCAAAATTTACTCGCCCCCCCCCCCAAAAAAAAAAT